GAACTCCCTCATCTCCTAACTTCCACATCTCAAAACCTCTCTATGCTTTACTCCATCCTTGCCTCCTTTATTCTGACACAGAGATAACCTTTCTCCTTGCCAAGATTAACCCCTTTACTTATACCTTTGATTCTATCTCATCCAGGAACTTGATGTATATGTTATTTCCTTTCTTTATCTCTTATGGTCTCTGTCTCCTATTCCACACTGTTTCTGTCTTTCTCTGTCTACCCTTGCTTCTGCCTCTGGGCCTATCTCTGGCTCTCCCTCTCTAGTTCACATTTACTTTCTTCTTCTAGCTCCTTCCCAGCAGTCCCTAAACAAGTCCAGAATTTCCCTATCCTAAAAACAAAACAAAAGTTCCTTTGATTCTGCCATCCCCTTAAGCTATTGTACTCTACCTTTGCTCTTTCACTGTTAAATTCTAGAAAGAATAATCTTTTTTTCACTGCCCCAATGCTTACCATTCATTCACTCCATATTCCCTGGAGATCTGGTTTCTAACACCACCATTCTAATGCAGTTGTTCTCTCTGAGGGTATCAGTGATCTCCTAATTAAATCCTTTCAGTCCTAATCTTCCTTGACTTCTCTGAAACTTCTGAGCACCCTACTCTCTTAGATACTCTTTTCTCTCTTTGCTTCGGTGACACTGGCTCTTTCCTGGTTCCTCCTGCTTCCTCAACCACTCTTTCTCAATCTCCTTCATTAGCACATTGTCCTCCTGCTGCCCTCTACGTGTGGGTTTCCTCCTGTGGTCTTTCTTTTCTCTTTTGCTTTTTCAGTACCATCTCTTAGTTGTCTCATTAGCTTCCATGGTTTAAGTTATTCTGTAGTCTATATATTCAACCCCATGTCTTGCCCAAATCCCTGGTCCTGCATCTCCAGCTTTCTGATGCATCTCTACATGGATGTCCAACTTTGACTACAAACTCTAGCTGTCCAAAATTGTAATCATCTCCACCCTCTGCCCCAAACCTGCCCTTCTTCCTAATGTCTATTTCTGTGCTAATGCCAACATCCTATAAAACACCCAGGCTTCAATCATCTAAGTTACCTTTGCCTTTTTCTTCTCCATTATTAAATACTACACACACACACACATCTAAACTTTTGCTAATGATGAGGATGGGAGCTAAATGGGCCAAATCTCTGGTGTTTGTCTGAGGCTATAATCCCATCAACTGGGCCTTTCTTTGTGGCTACACCCAATTTCCCAATTCTGTTACCCTTAACCTACCCTAGCTCTCCCTATGGCCCTCAGCCATTTCCCATACTTAATCTTAGCTAGGCTCCATTGTCCAGGTCCTAGGAGTCCTGTTCACCCCAGTTTACTGGCCACTCCCATCCAGATCCTCCTTAGACCCCTCCTTCAGTCACCCCAAACTACTTGGCCACTCCTAGATCCCTCCCACAGTCTTTCTGTACATAAGGTCCATCTTGCCTCCATTAAAATGCTCGGATTCTTATAATCTAGCCACTGCTCAGATTTTTACAATCTAGCCAATAGTTCACAGATGCTCAGATTCCTTAAGAGTCTGGTTAATGTGGTGGATCTTTAATAAACTTTGTTTTTGGCTGAAAGAAGGCTTGGGTCAAATTCACTCAAGCAGGACTCGTGTGTTGTGATTTTGGGATTCCAGCACCCCTAACCTCTAGACCTCATCACTAAGTCCTGTGGCTTCTACCTTCATAATATCTCTCATTTCTCTCTCCTCTCTTCTCTATTCATATTGCCACCTTCCTAATTAGGCCCTTATCAATTCTTGCCCAGAATTATTATATTTTAATTCTAACTATTCTCCCTGTTTTTACCCTTTCTCTTTTCTAGCCCAACCTTCACAAAACGGTCAAAGTAAATTTTATAGAGGTACAAGCCTAACTATGATACTCCCCTGCTAGAAAACCTCAGAAAACATCTTCAATGGCTTCTTACTTTATACAGTACGAACTCTTGGCCTGACCTTTAAGGCCCTCTCACAATCTGACTCTGTCTCCCATGCCTAGCATGGCACCTGGTACATAGTAGGCTTAATAAATAACAGTATACAAAAATAATATGTGAAATACACAATCATACATAACAAATTAACAAACTTAATGTTTGTTAATTTATTTTAATTCTATAATATATCAGGTTGGCATCTTATACACAGCTGTGAAAATTTTTATTTTTTACTTAACATTGAAAAAACAGAACTTTCAAAATTCCACTTTCTTATCAAGCATGTCTACTGTAATAACATTTCCTTGATACTATCAAGTAATTCTTTATATAGTGACTGTAGGAAACATACCTTCCAAAGAGGTGTTTGTTGTTTCTAGGGGATTTTACAATCAGCTTAAATTCTTAGGGGTGACTCACCTGGAAGCTTGGATACATAGAAGATACAGGTCTCTATCCTTACCCTTTATAACCTCTTTTTTCCTCCTCTTGCCATACATCAATAGTACAAATTCCAACTTTCCAAATACTGAACCATTGAACTTTAGAAAAGGGGAAATTTCTCTGTCAGGGAGCAACTGTAAGGTAATATTTGCTAAACATGAACCATATTTATAAATGTATTCTATAACTAATATTTGAACAAAGCCCTAGCTGAATTCTGATCAGAAGTTACATATGGTTGCAGAAAAAACATTGGATTTGAAGTCAGAACACACTGGGCTTGAATCCTACCTTTTGACACTTACTAGCTGAATGACCATTGACAAGTAACTCTCTAAACAGAATGAGATTAACAATAGCTACAGACTTGGTGGGGGAATTAAATAACATAATGAAAATAAAAGTGCTTTGTAAAATACTACATAAATATCAAGTATAATTCATATTGCTATTTCCTCCCAAGAGAGCATATTTTCTTACTCTTGGGTTTTGTTGTACCACATTATAATTCCTTGTATTCCATATTATCTTTCTGCCACGTAATATGCTCCAGGACAGTGTTCTTTGGGACTCTTCTTCATCCATCTCATTTTCAAATAACATAACCAGAAGTTGGCCCACCATTCATTATCTACACTCAAAAAAACTGTCCTATCATTTCACCAAAACTTTCTGGGACTGTATACTGACTGTCCTATATACTCCTCCAACCCCCAGAATTGGTATAGTATTTCAGCTGTGCTAATGTTTAGCGAAATTTAAAAGACAAACAATTTTCTTTCATTGTTATATACAGCAAAGGCATCTTGCCATCTTCTTCGCTCATGCTTCTCTTTGCCCTACCATGGAATAGATCTCCTCATCGATGACTTCTAGAGACCATGCCCTGTGACTCCATAGGAGTTAATCCACTCGTCTTTGCGATTGAGCCCTGGGACTGAGTTGTATAGATTGATGGGTGAGTAACAGAAAATTCACATACTCTATCATATATAGCCTGAGTTAGGCTCAGACCAGAACTCACATCCCATTTACCAGGACAGCAAGGATCTACCCCTAAGGAGTATCTTACCATCTACCCTGTTGCTTCACATACCAGTCTCAAGGAGAAGGTCATAACTGAGCTGAGCCATGAGAGACAGTTAAAATTCAAAAAGGTAAAAAAAGAGACATGAAATATGTAGAACAGGTAAATCAAGTACAGAACTTGGAAAACACACATTGGTTTTATGGAATGGCAAGTAGTCTAATTTGGCTGAGCCATTAGGTACATTAATGAATGGACCACGTGATAAAGCAGGTATACTGGAACCAGGCTAAGTTGTTTGGACTTTGCTCCAAAAACGAAAGAGTATAAAGGGCAGCCACTGTTTAAAGGGGCACTAGAATTTTCCTGTACACTCTAATATTTTGCTCAAGAATATGGATCATGGGAATTACGGCAATAAGCAAATAAATGTAGTTTCCCATCATCCTCCACTTCTGATATTTTAAATTCTTGTTATACATATTTGAATGAGCTTTAAGTTTAAGTCTGGCTTAGGGTGCCCCTATATCTGAGTCATGTCTGAACTTCAGTGTACATTGGAATTTGAAATATCTCAGCTTTGCTCCACTGGTTTAATTGCCAAGGTATGCCTGAGGAACCTCTTTGGCAGAAAAGAATGTGTCCTAAAGTGACCTCTTAAAAGGCACAGATTTGGAAGGCAATTTGATAATGAGGTAATTACATTGGTTTCTCTGTTTTTAGTATGGTCTGCAAGGGGGTGATGATAGAGGACAAGAATTCCCAGTGCCATCCATAAGAATGCTACCAAAAGGATGTGAGAAGAAACAGCATATTCCTGGTGGGGTTTACATATGAAAATACTGGTAGTTCCTTCCTCTTCCAAGCCCACAGCAATTTTGCTTGATTCAGCCTATGCCATGCATGCCACTGGGTTCTTACAAAATGTTCCCGTTATTCTGTTGTCTTTCAGAGACAATGGGCCAAATTCTCATTTGCTGCTATTGCCCAAGTTTCTATCAGCTTGACTTTTGTCTAAAAACATTTCTGACTTGTCAGTAAAAGTAGGAAGGAGACATTAACAGCAAACAAGCTTAAGTGTGGGGGCCTGTTGCCCATTTTCTATTCCTAAGCATAGTTATGACTGTTTTTCCTAGTACTTGAGGTACTGCCCCATCTTTAAAACAAGGGCCACTTGGAATCTAATGGACACAATGCAGATTTTAGGTTAGTCAACAAATCTCTTTTCATTGATGAAAAGTTTATCAAAGAAATATTTTTGCTGAAACCTTTTATGCTACTATAAATATTCACAAAATGAGGACTGTAGCAGATTTAGCATAAGAGCCATTAAAATCTTTTGCCAAATTCTTTTTTTCAATTTGAAATTTTGAACAAGAAATATTTACATTTCAAGATCATTTAAAAGGAAATTGTCGAACAAAAAAATATCTGAGTCAAAAATTCACATTGTAATTACCTATCCTACTTGAACAAAAGTAATTTGGTTAACAATAGTTTTCAGGAAACTAAAAATTCAACAAAAGGAAGACAGGAAAAACATCGCAGAAATGGCTTTATATATATAAATACAATTCAACTATTATTTTTTTCTTCCATTTATTGACCTTGTTTAAATTAAGAGGAGAGATTCAGCACCAAGTCATAAGAAGTGGATCATCTGGGGAGGTAAATCAAACCAAGAGAAGGCAAGTTGATGAATGTCCTTAATGAACTGTTTGCCTGTTTTAGGGTTTCAGAAGTCGAAAGAGATGAGGAGATCGGTTTTGAAAGCAAGTTTGGGAGCACATCACAGTTTCTAGAGGTAGTTCCTTTACATCAGCACTTGTCTTCCAATTCTAAAAGAAAAATAAAGTGCTCTGTAAGCATTTAATGAATGAATGAAAAGGCAAATTTCCTCCAAGTACTGAATGAATAAAAAGTTAAATTTCCTTAGGGGTTCTGTGAAACTGATGCGTAAATTACCCATACCATTTATACTTAACTTTCTCTCTTATTCTACAAGACAGAGTGGAAAAAATTACTAATAAGAAAGAGATACATATCATTCAACACAGCTCACAGTACAAAGATTTTTCTCTATTATTATTCAAGCATGTTAAGGTGAACATTCAACATTTCTCCCATTTCTCATTTTCTCATATCTGGAATGCCCATTGGTACCAACTCCAATATAATCTTGTATGCTTTTTAAAACTCTAATCATTTATGTGCACTGGTAAAGTCTTGTGCAAGGTGCCTAAAGACAAAATACCATCTCCTTTGTCAACCAACTAGTTCTACTGTCCCAGCCTACCCCAGCACATGATGAATGGGCAAAGATTGGTTTCATACATTGATCATTGAATCATAAGCTTTCAACTAAAAACAAACAAATGTAAAAGAGCTTTCAAAGTATAAAATAAAAATTTGTCTGCCTGATGATGTACTAAAGAAATCATTAAGAATTCATTAAGAATTAAAAGATTGAATTGTTTAATAAATATGAAAATCTCTATACAGCACTCTCAATACAAATGCTTCAACTGATCTTTCTTAAAATTTAATTGACTAATCATATTATTTTACTTTCCCACATTCATTTTTTGTATTCATTAACAATTAACATTTGAATTAACAACAACAACACATATTCTACTAACTATTCTTCTACCATAGTCCTACTCTAATATCTTAATATTGTGTGAAGCTCACTCTGGGTTCTCAACAGTCTATACCACTAATCACTTTGAAAGTACAAGCTGTCAAAGGCTCTGCTATGCTGAAAAGGCTTTGTATATAGTCCTGCCACAAATTGTCATCTGAAGGCTCATCACTGAAGGCTGACCACCAGGTAATGAATTTTCTACTGAAACACAAAATGGTTACAGTTCTCATGATAAAGGTAATATTTGCCTTTTCTTTGCATTTTCAGCACCCAGCAGAGTATCTAGCACACAGTAAACACTTAACCAATGCTTATTAATAGAATAACTAGTCACACTAATGAAATCACAAGTCTTCGGGAGAAATGAAATATTGACTTCTCAGAAGATCCCCAGCACTACACTAACCACAAAATGCACTGGTTTGATCAATAATCAATCAGTAAGTATTTATTTAATCACCTACTACATACTCTGCTAGGTACTTGGGATACAAAGACAAAAATGAAAAAGGTCCTATTCTCAAGGAACTTACTTCCTATTGAGAATGCTCATATTCTATGGGTTGGGGTAAGAAATATTATATCACATAGAGAAACCTAGTCTCAGTGATTTTTTTTAAAAAGTAAAAGCATTAAATCATTCAACAAACTTATTGCTGTTACTATGTCCATGGAACTGGGGTAAATGCTAAGACGGACACAGTTAAAAACATTCCTTCTCTTCAAGGAGGAAAGTTGAAGAGACAGGATATTAAAAGTTAATTTTAACAAAATTTAAAAAAAACCTTTTTTTATAAGAAGCATAACTCAAATTGTCCCCAAATTTATACTGTAGAAACTATGGATACTAGAAAAGCAAATACAGTTACACTGTGATTTAGAAATCTGTATATTCTTCAACACTGTAAGGGTCTGCCATTTCATTCTTCTAGCAATACAGGCTGCAGGCTACCCCTGCATTACTTAAAAGATGATGTTTAAGAATTTGTGTGGCCAAAAAATTTATCATCTTGCAGGAAGCAAGAGAGGCAACTTTTTATTCACTTAATGGAGTCAGATTCCAGGTGATCCAAACTGATCATCCCCCTGGAAGAATTTCAGTGAGTGACAGATAACAAAATAGGGAACGTTGCTAAGCTTGTCCTTGGACAAAGACAGGTAGTCTATCTATCACAGAGCCCACACTCAAAGGCTTTTTAGTATGGTAGGACCTGGAAAAGCTTGTGCCCTCCTAGTACTGTCTTCTAGAACCCAACATTTAAAATCCCATGCCATGATTAAGAGAACCTTATTCGGAGCAATGTATGTTATAAATAAACAATGTCTATGAAAAATGAAAACCTTAGCTATTGACTCACCTTCACCATAAAAATATAACCAAGTACACAAGGTAAAATCTGGAGGCTGCATCATACATTAGAGAGCTGAATTTGGAAGGAGATGGTGGGTTCAAATCTTGGCCCTGCTATTTATTACCTGCATGACTTTTGGCAAGTTATTTAACTTCTTTGGCCTTCAGTTTCCTCATCTGTAAAGTAGAGGGTTGGACTAGATCATGGGTTCTTAATCTTTTTTGTGACATAGACTTCTTTGCCAGTCTGGTGAAGGCTATGGACCCCTTCTCAAGATAATGCTTTTCAAGAAATAAAATAAATTATGTGGGATTATAAAGGAAACCAAAAATGTTGAAATACAGTTATGAAAATATCTGTTTAAAAAGCAAATTCCCAGAATCTAGGTTAATCCAGACTAGATGATCTTTAATGATGTTTTCAATTCTAAATCTATGATCTTCTGAACCCTAACTTTTGCCCTAGGAAGTATTAAGTGAGTAATGATAATAATAAGTGAGTGGGCAGGCATCTCATCTTCTCCACTTTCTTTGGTAATATTCTAGTTAGTTCATACCTTTTGTCTATGTCTCCAGCTTCACAATTTATCATAATTACATAGTTAACAGCTGAGAATGAGGGTTAAAGGAGGATGAGGGTGACAGAGGAGTTGGAAACATCCCCAGTGGGATCATGAAATGGTGGGGGTGGCATTCCATGGTCTGATGGACCATGATCCTCTTAATTTCATGCAGACTTGGTCAAGATTCCAGGTGCCCTTAACTGACCAGTCCACTGAAATAACTTTCAATGTAGATTAGTATTATTATCATCAACACCAAGAAGGAGGAGCTGAGGACTATATGTGGCCTGGCTTGATCAGAAGTAGGCAGGGGTTCTTGGAGCTTTCTTCTAGTGTGTTTCAGGGGGAAGAAGGAAGGAGTATTGCATCTTTCTTTCTACTTTTTCTCTTCTCCCTGAAGACTGGACACAAGAGAACAGCCCCTGGGCTGCACTTGGGACCTCTTCCCTTTCAGACAGTCATGGTAGGGTGGCTCAATCTCTAATAAAAATGGAAGGGGGTTAATTGGTATATTAATAACTCAGTGATGTTCATTAAATACGACCAGATAATAAAGGGATCACTCTGGATAATGCTTCACAATAGATGTAGAGGGGCAGCTAGGTGGTGCAGTGGATAGAGCACTGGCCCTAGAGTCAGGAGGACCTGAGTTCAAATCCGACCTCAGGCACATAACACTCACTAGCTTTGTGACTCTGGGCAAGTCACTTAACCCCAATTGCCTCATCAAAAACAAAACAAAACAAAACAAAAAAACCCAACACAATAGATGTAGAATATTAGCTGGGTTTTAAGGAAGGAATAATATTTGGTGTCTGTCCTCCTCAGTCTGGATCTGACACAATGGATAATTCAGGATCCAAGGATTTAAACCAACAATCCATTTAATAAAAATATATTCAAATACCCCCAGGTAAAAACAGTTTCCAAGGCAACTCAGGAAGATCTAAGTAAATAAAAGCTAGTGGGCAAAGAAATTTAAAAGCAGTTGGCAAAGAGGTTCCCTGGGGTCTAAGGGGCTTGGGCCAAAGTCCTAAAAGCCACTTTTATGCTCTTCTTGCCCAGAAGGTCCACAGCTGGATCCAAGATCAATCTAACTTGGGGCAAAGTTAACCTAAACTGCCCCAGGTCTTCACCACAACTAACTTGCTCACAGGAGTTGCTACTCAGTGTCCTGAGAATAATCGGGGGGAGCAGATGAAAGAGGAGATTAATTCAACCAGTACCTGGCCCACTACAAAGTCGAAAAGAAAAGAACAGACATTTCAGACATGGGGAAGATAAGATAAGGATAAGAAAGAAGGAGCACCTGAAGGAAGGCACCTGAAGAATTTGGGGAACAACAGATGGATATAAAAAGAGTTAACACATCATTAAGCACCAATCTCAAATATCAGAAGCAGCTACAGTCAATGGAGATCTGGACTTCAAGTCAAGAAGGAAAGTCTGAGTTCAAATCTAGCTTTAGACACTTACCAGCTGTGAGGATCTAAGCAATTCACTTGACTTTTCCCAGCCTCAGTTTTCCCATCTGTAGAGATAATAATAATACTTACCTCCCCCAAGTACTTAACTTGTAAGGATAAAATGAAGTAATATTTTTCCTAGTACTTTGCAAACTCTAAAGCATTATATAAATGCTAGCTATTGTTATTACTATTATCACTATTATTAGCCGTAAATACAATAGCACTGGATGACACTTCCACTCAAAAAACCCCCAGAATTTATTAAGCCTGTATGATGGGTCCTGTGTGCTGAGCTCCAGAAGAGATGCAAAGATGAAACTTGGTCTCTCTGTTTAAGGAGTGTAGAGTCCCATTGGGAAAAGAGCTCATATATACAAATAACTACAACACAAAAGAGACTTTGATAGTATGACATAATAAACATTTGCCAAAGTTTGAACTAAATGCCAACTACATACAAAGCATAATATCTAGCACTGGGGAGAAAAAAAGAAGATGAAAAAGTCTCTGCCCTCAAATGGTTTATGATCTAATGGTTGTCTATAATAGCTTTCCATAAGATAATATAAAATAATATAATATAGAAGAGTCGAAATTTTGGTTGAAGAATAACAGTCAAAAGCTGATCGTCCTCTGCTGCTCTGCCATGAATGAATAGTATGGTGCTCTCCCATTCTCTACAAGGGCTAATGAACTAGCAGGAGAGGAAGGATACTCCCAAGTCTGCTTGGGTTTGGTCTCACTCAAGAAACTACAGCAAAACAGCTGTAGCAGCAAGAGCAGAGAAAAAAAAAGTAAGGATAGAAAA